GGATAGGTGTGATAGTGACTATAGATAGATTGTGACTATATAGGATAGATTTTAATAATAAAGTGTTTTGAACATTCAACTGGTGTGACTATATAGTAGAATGTGACTATAACGGGAGTGACTATAGAGGGAGTTGACTGTAGTTAATTTTGGCCAAATTCATAATTCCGCCCGCGAATCACGTGATGGAACACAAACTTCCTAAAAAGGAAATTTTATCTCCCAATAAAATTCAAGTTGCTATCGCACAAGGTTGTACAAATTTCCAAAAAAGGAAATTTATTTGTCGATCACTGTAATTTTTTTGTAATCACGTGATATGTGTTTAAATAAACCTATTATAAATAGTATAAAAAAAAATCGGTATTTGCGAAATGATTAATCGCGATTAATCGATTTTAGAATCGATTCTAATAATGGGAATCGATTCCAATCCCTAGTGCAGTATATATATAATGCACCGAGAATTAAATCTTTTGGTCAGGGTGGAGTGAAATATTATGAAGTATAATGGTAATGACGAGAAAATTATAGGCATGTACTTATTGCTGATCTCTGGAATTTACATTATAGGTTCGAAATTAGTCCCTATCGAAAAAAGTTTCTTGTGGACTTTAAACTTTCATATGAACTGTGAGTAGGAATTATATAGATAAGCGAAAATATTGTATGTATGGGTGAGATAAAATAATTCGAAAATCTGTTGTTTATAGAAAATAAATTAGAGCAATATTAGCGATAAAAATAAATTAGCAGTAGAAATTTTCCAGAAATTTAGGAGAGTAAACTCAGCTCGAGTAAAATTTTTTAAAGCGTAATTTTATGGGTACGAGATCTCATCACATGATACGAAAATTGATCACACTTATTTGATGATTAGTTTGAACGCGTCTTATTCTGCTAACAAAAATTAAGAGAAGAGCAAGTCAACTTCTTAAAGACACACTCAAACCCTTGTTTGTTGAACTTCTTTGTGGATCTCAAGTATCGAAGGAGGTCATCTAAATTTAGATATAACGATTATAGTTTACGTTTGGCCTAATTCGGAAAAGCTGTTGGATTTACAAAAACTTTAGCGATAATAACAATAAAGATGATTGGGGCAATATGAAGATTGGAGGAAGAATAAAAAAGCCAATGTATGGTTTTTCATTCGAGCTAAAGAAACTTAGGTGTATACTGACAAAGGTCATCTAGGATAAAAAAAGAAAGCAAGAGGTTCATGCTTCGTTTCATGCTTGATTAGATGATGGCATCGATGGTGAAAAATTTGATGATGTTCGGAAAAGGGTAAGTTAGTATTTAATCGATTTATTTATATATGATTTAATATTTTAACGCCCAAATCGACAGAATTTAGTTATACTCCTTATACGACCAGAAATGATACGCTATCTGATATTTATGATCAAGCTCAAGTAGCATCCTTAAATGTTGAAGAGAGGTACTGTAATTGTTTATACCAACAACTACGAAGCAATAATTGTAATAATTCTTACGGTTGTTTAAATAGGATGGTCAACGATGATAAATTAGAATTATTCGTTCAAGTAATCATGGAGAGGGTTGTGTGCGGTATTGACCTACGTGATACATTAACTATATCAGATATGGCAAAAATCGAAAGCCCGGTCACGCACTGAGTAAGTATTCTTGTAAACATGTATGTTTTAGATGCAATAATATCTGGCGTACTGATACTGTAAATTCTAGCTAACATTTTACGACATTATAGACATGATACCAGGTCCAAACAGCAATTTTGTAAGAACTCTATCTAAAGAAGGTGTATCAAAACCGTTACCAACACCTCTATGAAGAAATATTTAATTAATTTTATTAAGGTATCATGAGTGTCACCGACCCACATTGTAAATTATGTAGTTTATGTATGTGATTAAATAAGTTTAAGTAATCTATTTTATCTTTCCTTGCAATATAGAATTTTCAATTGTGGAGTGGAGCACCAAACAAACGAGATTATACACACTTTTTCAAAGATAAAATAAAGATTGGAAAGATGTTGAAAGTAATGATCGATCGAATCGTGAGAAAATATGAGGCAGAAAACGCGAAATTACACTCATTAAGAATTTATGGTTTACAGTTTTATTGTAAGTACTGCCAGCTTCAAGAATTATTTAATACTGTGTGAGCCTAACATTTTCCAACTTTTTATAGGCAATGAAATGATCGTTTAAAAAATGGCAATACCATTCCAATTTGCGAATAAACAGTTTGTATCAGCGACCAGAATTCAAGCAACAACTACGAAAATGGACCAACCGGTTTGCCAACAATGATATATTAGCAGATATTTATGATGGTGAAATCTGGAAAATTTTTCAGACATCTCAGGCATCTCATATTTTACATCAGAAACTGCAGATTCCCACTTGGGAATTATGATCAATCTCGATTGATTTCAACCTTTCAAATCATCTGCATATAGCTGCATGGCGATTTATGGAGTTATTTTGTAACCTACCATGTGAAATTTAGAAAATATGCTGACGCTTGGTCTAGGATTGTACACTTTTAATTAAATTTTACAATCAGAGTTTCCGACCAACAATGTTGAAGTTGGACTGTGATCATGATCTATGCCAACATTGATCAAGACTAAGGTTTGTATACGTACTGTGTTAGTCAATTAATACTCCATTAGTTTCTAATTTTATCTGTTATATTACTGCCATGTTATCAGGAATTGCTTAAGAAGAGCTTGGATGATACAAAAGAATACATTCTGGATGCATGCACTAGTACACCAGATGACAATAATACAAGCTCATTTTTTACACGAAATGATTCGATACCTGCATCTCAGCAGGGGAACTTAATATCATTTAAAATGTCTTTAATCATGATATTATAATTAATGAAGTACCTTATTTTACCATACTATATTTACTACTTCCGTGCATTATGAAATTCTACCCCTTATCAGACTTTTTTATATTTTATTGATGTGCCCAATATATTGAGTCTAAAAGTTGTTAATTACAATTTTAATTAAAAATCTTTCAAAAGGTTTAGACTTTGGTGAGAATGAGACTGTAAAATAATAATTGTAAGTCCTTAAGAGCTAAAATTATATGAAATTCCACAATCCCTGTATAGTATTTTCCTTAGAATAAAAACTATTCATATATCATACAAGATGCTAAAAATTATAAAATTAACGCACTTTAGACTGAATGTTATTCTACTACAAGTGGAATAAGTAAATGGTCGCGCGCCAAAGTTCTAAATTTTGACATTTTATTAATTCTAACCGGAATTAGAATTTGGCCTATATCATTAAGCATAATGCGAGGCGAAATTAGAATTTTGCCTACATTATGTTCTACTATAAACAAATTGTTTAATCTGAATAAACCTATTCCGTTTTTGCACTATAATATTAAGTAAATCAATGTATAAAGTATAATCACTAATATTTGATATACTGATATACTTGTATTATTAAAAATCCGGTATAACGATAAAATTTTACTTTCCCACTATATGAGAGAATGATATAAAGATAACAAAGAATTTCATATGAATTCCGGCATACAGTAACGTTATTGTATTAGGGATTCTGTTGCAAGAAAGGCAATTGATCATAAACATTGCTATAATCATATTCAAGTACGGTACTATTTTTTTCAAAGGGGACTTGAAATCGGCACGATTTTCAATTTTTTTAATTTCCCATACTAAACTCAAAGTGAATGAAATGAATGAATGTCAATGATTCACAATCTCTTGGAAAAACAAAAGTCCACTGAAAGTTGCTAAATTGAGAGAAATATCTTACTGAATTTTCTTGTCATATGTGGATTTTCATGCTTCGTAATCGTTATTATTATAGAATTATAGATTGCAACATTGTATAAAAAGTTTACAAGATTTGTTACGGAGATAAGAAATAATTTGTGTTACATTTTAAGAAACTTATCGTGGACTTATTTATCTAGATTCTGATCTACTTTTATGAGTGATCAAGTTTTTCTGTCGCGTCATAAATAACATTGATATTCATCAATGGATATTCATTATATAATCCGATGTAACGAATTCATTATATAATCTACGTAACGAAAATGTCATAACAATGATTTGCCAAAATTTTTAATTACTTCCAAATCAAGGTTGCGCACGCTAGCACGTGTATATCAAGTTTTCAAAGTTATGCTATTACCCGGTTACTATTTTATTCGCGAAAAACCTTAAATCATTTTATGGTATTCATTTTCCCGAATGTTTGATATACAAATTCTGAATTAATGTTATTAATGTTATTAAGCAAAGAGGATTGGTTACCCTAATTTAACATTATGAAATATGAATCGGTTAATAAGTTGGTCCGGATTTACCCTCAACTTATTCAAATAAAGGTTTAAATCAAGTACTGTAATTGAACTTACTTTTTATGAATGATAATAACTTAAAGTTAGATGATCTTTTGTTTTTCTTTTGAATTTCAAATCATGAGTTTTTGAATATCTCTGTTTTACACAAATGATGTCATAACAATCTCGTTTTTTCAGTAAATGTAAACAGTTTTATTTTAATGTTTAATGATTGGACAATCAATCACATATATCAGACCGGTCTAGACTTATCATATAATTGATCTACAATGCCAATTTTATACGCCTGCAGCTATAGATTACGCGATCAGCCAAAAGGAATTTTTCGGAAATTGGCTACTGAGTAATTATTAAGTCATTTAAGACTCCGAATAAAAACTTTACGTATTTTTTTTTGGCAAAATTATAACCGTATGTATATATATCCATCGCATCTCGGAATTTAAATAGTCTGGATCAATTTGTACATAGGCGTTTGAACGAACAATGTTTACTAGTTTACTATAAAAATTCACATTCAAAAGAAAAGTAAAGTTAGTTAATTTTCTAATCATAGGATAATAATTATTTTTAATTATATATTTAATCTAAACCTTTATTTGAAACCCATTCAAAAAATGATTTTTGAAGTTAATTAACTGATTTTAACCGTACTAAATTATCAACTTATAGCTGAATAATCATGAATTATAATTTGTATGGATATTATTGTTTGAATAATATAGATTTGGTTACCTAATGTAAATATTATATATATTATCCATGTATAAGGAAACAGATTAACGCGTTAGGAAATAAACATTCTATAAATTAATTTCCAAATATGATTTTTAACAAGGGATGAGTTATTTTTAACCGTTCTTAGTTTGAAACCCTGAATACTTGAACCGGTAAAGTTTTGTTTTTATTATAAATTCTATTAAAAGTAATTGATGAACCAAATTACAAATGTTGCTATTTTTAAAAAATCATGTGAATTAGGCTAAAAAATTTTCCGTTCTTGATTATTTTTTGCTTTCGTCATCAAAACTTTATATTGATAAAAGAATGATTTAGGTTATAAAACAGTACTTCTTTTTTTTTTTTATTTTAATGAAAAAACAAATTATAACAATGTAGGGAATTTCCTTTTCTGATTGATCTAATGTTTGTTATTTATATGATGTACTTGAACGCGAACTTTGAAAGATCGGAGTGTGAAATTTAACCGGTCGGTTAAATTTTATCCGGCAAAATTTATCCGAAAAATGATTCATTATTAATAATCAGGAGTCCGCGCGGAGTTGATAGTGCGTTGAAAAAATATATAAATAAAAACTGACTCCTTGTTCTTTCAAAATTATTAAATTCTTTTCGATTACAACTAATTCTTTCAATTACAACTTATATCATTTTATAATTTTATCAATTTTACGTTTTACTTTACAATTTTATTATTTTAAAATGGCTTTTTTTAACAAAATCTGCAAGAATAAAATAGGTATACAAAAGCCTTCAACTAACGAAAAAGAAAAACCTACAAAATCATCTAAATTATCTCTAAAGAGAATTATTTCAAAGCCAATTAATAAGGATACTCATAAACGTAAAAGAATTCATCATAAAACAAAATCAGATGAAAGAAGAAAATTTTACTCAAAAGATGATCTGATAACCGCAGTTCCTTCACGAGAAAATATCAAAGTACGATCTCGATCACATTCAATTTCTTACGACTATCATAGAACATTTGATTCAACTACTGTTACACCAGACAAAAGGACTTTACGCCCTGTAAAAAACATTGATATCAAAGCTAATATATTTTGGGGAGAAGAATATAAAAAAGAACAAATTAATTTATCAATTCCACGAACTAGTTCTTATAATTCAATCAGAAAAATTATATCAGAGAAATTAGGGTATGAGATATCAAATGATTTTGCTATACTTTATCACACAAGAAAATATCACAAGGACAATATCATGAGAAGGATTTTAATTGATTATTGGATAAAGAACAAAATCTTGTGGTTGGTAGATGATGATTTTATGCTTAGTAAACACTTATTGTTATGGAGAGATTGTATTGAGATTACGGTTGTGAGAAAATCCATCATATATTAGTTATTGTTCTATATTGTATATTGTATTGTAAATAAAATTCTCATGTAAATAAAATTCTTTTATCAAGTTCAGTAAATCACAGTTGTTACACATTTTTTATCCCTATTCGTGTGAATTTTTTTAATTGCCAAATAATTTATTTATTTACATCGATTATATCAATTATAAAAATTCTTTTAAAGATATATTAATAAATGATTTTACTATTTGTATTAATTAATTAATAAATTCAAAGTAAAGGGTTATTAATGAAACAATATTCAAATTATTATAATGTTAATAATTATTTATTTATATATATAATTCAGATAATTTAGCCCACTCTTTTTTCTTTTCTGCATCTTGGAATATTCTCTATAAACAAAATAAATAATAAATTGAAAATCATAATTAATAAAGTAATAAATTAAATTAGATTAAATGATTTTTCTACTTGTACCTTTGCATATTGATCAATATCAAAAACAAAAGGATTTTGACCAAAATTTACTTCAATATATGCTTTTGGATTTCTCATTCCAAATGTAGGGTATAATTCCCCACCAGAAATATCATCAAATGCTACTCCTAAAAAAGAGAAAACAAAATATATGAGTGAATATATAATAAAATCTTTTTTTTTAAAAAAAAAAAATTATTATTTTTTTTTTACCCAAATGAATTCCATTCTTTGTGTAAAAACATGTATTATTAAAAAAATTCACACAACAACCAATTGTATCATCAGTTGTGTATAAAGGACCATAGTCGTAACCTCTATTTCCGTCTGATATAAACTTTAATCCGTCATCACCATGATATCCATATGATCTCTCATTCCATCCTAATTAATTAAATGAATTAGATAAATAAAGAAGTTCAAATAATTATATAAATTGAAAAGAAAAAAAAAAACTTTCTACTAACCAGGTTGTCCATTTAAATTTACATTAGGTTCACTCAAACCTATTCCAATTAAACTAAAATATGAATAAAACACAAACGTTTTAATAATTGAACAATACTTAATTATTTAATTAACTAATAAAGTGATATGTTACCCTTCTAAGCCTTGATTAACAATATATACTTCGAAATAAAATAATCCTGCTTCAACTGGTAAAGGATAATCCGCTCTAACGGCAGCTGCAATATACCAACTAAGATGCCCTTGCACTTTTTTTTTTATTATTTATTTATATTTAATTAAAAATGTTTCTAAACTTTAAATAGAATTAACTACCAAATATAAATACCATTATAAAACATTGTCAACCCATTATCTTCTATGGTTAATTCATCAGCACAATCGTTTTTATTTAATTTAGTTGGAAGTAAAATAGATTTTTTTTTTCGATTATATAAGTCATAAGGAGTATTTACAAGATAAGATGGAAGAATGAAATTTGAGTATTTCATCGCTTTTTCGCAAAAACTTTGATAAAATCGGAGTTAGCTCCGTTGTTGTTGTATTGTTTGCAAATAAACGAGAAAGGAATTTTTGATTTCGGAATATAAAAATATGCCAATTAAACAAATATTTGTCAGATGATTTTAGTTGTACACAAAATAACATGTGATTTGTGATGCAAACTACGGAAATACTCTGAATATCAGCNGCAAATAAACGATCGGAATATAAAAATATGCCAATTAAACAAATATTTGTCAGATGATTTTAGTTGTACACAAAATAACATGTGATTTGTGATGCAAACTACGGAAATACTCTGAATATCAGCCAAAATTCCTATTCCACATAAGAACTTGCACTACAATATGAAGGCTACTGATTATGTTATCGCGCATATGAAAAGAACAAAATAAAGAATAAATCGACACTACGCGCAAAAATTTTTTAATTAAAAATTGGGAGAAAACCAATTTCTATGCATTGTTTTTGAGAATAAATTTGTAATTTAATTACAAATATTTAAGTATTTTATAAAAAAAATCAAAAAAGTAATTCATTTATGATATAATAATAAATATTAATGTAATATTACATAGAGTTATATTCCTTATTTAGCTTAGATATTTTTTTAAGCCATGTTACCATTTTAGGAATTTTAGATAAAGATAAATTTTATCGCATCTTGTTTACTTTTTTAATCTTGTGTTATAAAATCAAATATATAAACCTTGGAACTTCTTCCCAAGTTCAAACTTCATAGTCGATATCGGGGCTATCCTTTTGTAAACGTACAAAAGTAATTCTATAAAAAAAACATGCGAACGTGAATTAAAAACGCGCATAATGATAGAATAGTTTTGTAAATAATTAGGTACTTACCCGATTTTGGTTTTCTTTTTCTTTTTTTCCTTGTTAAATGCATCAAAATTGTTTCTCATAATAATCATAAAATTTTCATTTTTTTCTTTAGTTAATCAAGCGCCATTCAATCAACTAATTAATATATTATTGCCAGTTCAAAATTAAATGAGTTCATTACATTTAACACGTCGCGTTTTTTAAATCATGATTTTAATGTTTTTTTTTTAGTTTATAAAGTTATCGTCGCAAATATCACGTATTACTACATTTATTTCGTTAAAATTATTGTTATTTATCGGTTAATACTCTCGGCCAGGTGCTGATTTGTTATTCTCGTCTATTGTTATACTTTTTTTTATCGATTTAATACAAATATTTTATCAGCTGTGGGGTGCAGATGAATAAATTTTTTTTCTTTGTTACAATCGGTATTCGATTTTATTTTTTTTTTTTCTAATATTTTTACCGAAGCTATGTTACCTTTTTTTTTCGAGTTTTTATATGAAACTTAACCAAATGTTCTAAATCCTTTCTAAATTACATAATAACACCCGATTCCAGCATTTACTTAATAATCACGAAATTTAAACTATTTATATTTTCCCTTAGTTCTTTTATCATGATTGTCTCGCGTTTTATCATATATATTTTTTTTTTTTTTTGGTTCATATATAATTATACAAAATAAGCTCACCTTAATAAAGGCAATTAAAACAATAAAACAGTAAACAATTTCAAAATTTTTTTCTTTTATTTTTTCAATATATATTACATAATTACTTAATATTATAAAATAATGATGCAATATAAATGATCGAGATTTACATTACATAATGATAACTATCTTGATGAATTATTTAAGGGAAACATACATAATACATAAAATATATTAAATATATATTAAATATATTAAATATATTGAATACGGAAAATATAAATATTTAACCGATATGATAACGAACTGATAACTAAACATTATGATTAGATCTAAATCAACTAAATTGGGGGAGATTTGCAATAGTGTTACTTATATATCATAACATCATAACAGAGATAACATAATTACTAAAATAAAATCAAAAGATCAAAGATGTTCATTATTTTGATACATTTAATTATTAAAATATGCAATATGTAAGCGGTCGCTAATTTGTAGATATGAGACTTCATTTTTTGACAAGTAAGTATTCATCAAAAATCATGCACAACTTGTATAAGTTACATTTTTATTTTGAGAATAATCAATCTAAGTGCCACCTTTTCGTGTAATAAATATATAATATCTATCAGTTAAACATTTTGTAAATGAATAAGATGTTGTTTATCATCAACTGGTAACGACTTTTATAAATTTATCCCATAAGGTAATTTAACAAATACGGTATTGGAGTACTTATACTATCAAATAAATCGCGTATTCCGTGAATACCTAAAAATTACCTTATTTACATGTTTTTTCCATCCCGTCAAATATTTTAAAGAAATAATTACTTGATGTAGGATACTATATTAGTCCATTATATGTACAGTTATTCAATGCGCATATGTCACTTCTTTTCATGCAGACTCGTGGTAGCCAACGCTGCATGTAAATGCAGCTGCAATCACTACATTTCAATTGTACCAATTATTGTTCTCTTAGACGTGAGAATTTTTTTTAAAGTCATACGATAGTTATTAAACGGAAACGAGATTTAGATATTCTTTTTTTTTTTTTTTTTTTTTTTTTTTTTTTTAAAAAAAAAAAAAAAATGAAAAACCCTTTATTCCTCTTTATTATAATTAGCATATAAAATGAATGTGTTTCTTAATTAATTAATGAAACTTAAACATAGTCGTAAAAAGAAATTAGAAGAAGTTAATTGTTTAACCACAATTGCAGGTAACAAAAAAACTATTATTATTTATGTCACGTTACGTACATGTTAAAGAAACATCTCAATTGTCCAGTCACTAATAAAACTTAGATTTGAATGGTCGTTAAAGAGATTAAATCTAAGATTTGAGTCAAAAATCGTCAAAATTACCTTCCTTTTCTTACATTTTCTAGTCATTGTTATCACACATTGTAATATTAAATATTCTAAACTGGGATTTTGTATACATTGTAAATTAATTAAATTAATTAAATTAGGTGTATCGTATTTTGAAGCATTCATTATCAATCAATGTTGATAAATTAAATAAGTTTTATATGGTAAGTAATTTAATAAATTTTGACATACCATGAGTTTACAAAGATGAACAAGTTGTTATAATATTTGCATTGATTTTCTTTCTTTTTTGAAGTTATATGGGTATCTTGAATTCAGTATTTTGTGACGATCGCAATTGATGATGGTAAAGTCAAATGAATATTTGTTAAAAAGTTCGTCCGTTAGAGAACTTGAATTATTAAGTTATTTTTCTCCAAGTTTCGTAAGTTTTGAGCGTCAAATTGAATCTTTTTTTTTTTTATTATATTTTATTGCTTTCTTTATTTTGATTGAGATTGTGTAAGGAAAGTTCCTTTTCAAAGAGCTCACGTAAGTATCACTCTTTGTTGACGAATAGTGAACAGTGTACAAATGATAAGAATCTATTCATTAACCTTTTTCTTTTTTCTTTTCTTTTTTTTTTTACTTTGTTTCATCTTATCATCATATCAGGTAATCGCGTATGGTTTGCCAGAACTGTAGATCGTCCATTGTTGTTTTTTTTTATTCGCCATACTCCGCTTTTATATGAATCACCAAATTAAGTAATCGTTATTAATAAAGAATTTGATTTAATATTGTTCGGGATTATTCAAATAAGCATTCTCTGACGCGTAAGCAATTAGAATATTACCGACTCACGGAAAAAGTTTTCTCAATTAAGGATTAGTAATGAACTTTGTATGCGGGTAACTTCTATAAACTAAATGAAGAAAACGCCTACGGTTATTGATTAATGCTTTATAAGTACAATAAATATAAACATTAATAATGGCTTTTCATTCAAATTATATATTTAAACTTTAAATTCTGCAAACAAAAAAGCAATAAGAAAACATAAATCGAGCCTCTTTTAATCAAATTTATATATTTACTAACTATTTTAATATAATTTAATTTGCTAATAGATGCATTTACATTTATTATTTTATTTATTTTTATTTATTTATTTTTTTTTTATTACACGAATGACACGAATGGAACAATATCAAAAAATATATAGAATTCATTTTTTTTTTCCATTTGTATAAAAAATTATTATTTGGCGTACGAGATTAGATATGATTCATATTCAAAAAATTCTTTAACGAATTACAGTACAAAGCTTTATTGGCGCTAGATCTTTTTTTTTTTACTTTAATTCATTTTAATCATAAAATGAACTTTATGTATATTACCTGCATAATTACGATGTTGTTGTTACAGGCTTATCATGAAATAATTTTTTTGAATCAAGAATAGTACATTCTTACGTTACCCAATTTTTTCGGATCGGGAAAATTTTAAAGTTCATTATTATCATTAATCTTATTTAAATTAAAGTTATACTTTCGGCATAATTTGCCAATCAATGGGAATGAATGCCGAATTTAATTCCGTTTATTGAGACAAATAACCTAAATTAATTCATTAAATAAAGTTATGAATTTTATACAAAATCAAAATTTAGACATAGAATATACTTCATATTATTAATTAAATTAATTTGAATTTTTATTAATAATTATCGATGATCAATCAATCATCAGTATTATAAATTTCTCCACAAAGTTACATGAGCGCTAACCAAAGTAAAAAAAAATCATTAACGATTATAATATTCATTATTAGTGATTATTAGTGTAATATAGATTATAGATACAACATCAATGAAAATAATGAAAAAAAATGATATCTTAAATTATTAATTAATTTTGAAACGTGGCTCTTTTATTTATATTTGTTTTTGATAAATTTTTTTTATGACCCGAATTACAAAAGAAGGGGTATATCATTAGATAACGAAATACCAATTGAAAATAGATATACAAGATTTATGGTTATATCACGAGGATTCACGAGGGACACAAAAAATCACTGGCACGTGATGTTCATAATTTCTATAAGGAATATGATACTTTCTCTACAAGTTTGATTAAAGGTTAAAAGAAAGGATTATATACCATTTTTTGCTCTTTTATATTTAAATTTGTAAAAGTTAACCTTGGCAGAAAAAATTGACATTTAAAAACCCATGTTTTCTCCATAAGTAAACAAGAAAAATTGTATATAGGATTCAATTTTGGAGTTTGTGTAGTAGTTTTGCTAAGTTTTATTTGAAAAATAAAAAATATAAAATTTTCACGTTAACCGAATCTATTTTTTTTAATGATTTTCAAACTGGGATCACGTGCCGATGATTTCTTGGTGGTTACGCTGGCCGGTCAAAAATCCGAAATATTCTGTGAAACATATTGGTGTTGATCTCACGCAGCGTGAGTTTTAATCTGAGGCAAGAATCAATCTGAGGCACAACATATATAAAGAGGGTTTTATAGGTGTGATATTTTAAGACATCTACCACATGAGAAGATTATTTATTCATTTTTTCGTGTTTACCAATTCTATAACATAAATTTGGAAATTGTTTTTTTGGAAGAATTAAGTTAATTGTTCATACACGTATCACGTGACTTTATTAAAAGTTATGTAAAAGTGTGTCCTTAAAATAGACCGGGGTTCGGTACTATCCTCTATCGGTTGTGTTAGAGGATAGGACTTTTGGGGTTCCTTTTATTAGAAGCGAGAGTCTGGCTTTTAGCTAGATGACAATCGTATTTCTGTAGTCAATAACTTTCTGTAAGATTGAATCATAATGCTACTTAATCTCTTGCCTGAATGACAAATTCTTTTTTTTTTTCTGTTTTTTTTTCGTTAAATTTAATTCTGCCCAACATTAAATGATCAGCATATAAAATTTACTTTTTTGGAAACCCGCGTTTGAACACTCTACCTAAAATTTGAGCTAAATACTAGTTAAAATTCCTTTTTTACGGTTTAGTCGTTTTATAGTTAGACCACTTACACGTTACATTCTAATTGATTCATTATTTCTAAAGATTTTATCCATTAAGAATTTTGGTTAACCTTTGACCCAAAGACTGTCATGTATTGATTCGAGAAACTTGCAAATGATAAATAAACCATATCTTGATCTTATTTGACCATCTTTCATTCATAAAATAATTAATACTGTGATTGGATGAATACTTATCAAAAGTGAAAAGTCTCATATCTACAAAATTAACGACCGCTTACATATTGTAATTAATGCATCAGAATAATGAACATCTTTGATCTTTTGATTATAGTAATTTGCATCTCTCCCCAATTTAGTTGTTTTAGATCTTATTACAATATTTAGCTATCAGTTCGTTATCATATCGGTTAAACATTTTACCGGCTAAATATCAAATATATTTTAATATAATTGCAATCAATCATATAGACTAAGTTTTACAGTTTAATTGTTTCTACTATAATAATAGCATGATCTTGTTTGACTGATACAATAACCCAGTTATTGGTATATGAGTTGTTATTTATATATTATGTTTCCATAATAAAAAGGCTTTACATAATTAATATATGGAATAAAGAGAAAATTTTGAAATTGTTTAATATTGTTTTATTGCCTTTGTTAAGGTGAGCTTATGTTGTATAATTATAAATGAACCAATAAAAATAAAAAAATAAATGTTAAAAAGCGAGAGAAGGAAAATATTAAATAGTCTAAATTTCATGATTATCAAGTAAAAGTTTTAGAACATTTTCTGGAAAAAACTCCGATGAATGATCATTTTTCTAGTTTTTTTATTCCAGAAAAACTCAGACATGTGATCGATTTTCTAAAAATTTTTATAGAGGCATATTAAATGAAAAAAAGGCAACGAAGCTCCGGTAAGGAACGAAGTGAATTTTAGTGTTTTTCTATAAAAAAAAAAAAAAAATCTTACGAAGGAAAGAAACTACCGAAAAAAATAAAATTTAGTCTCCAGTGTGTATATTTTCCTGCAGTTTCTACGATTTCTAAAATGCTCAATTATGTATAAATAAACATCGGTATAATAACAAATTTTTATATATATTTAAATTAATAGGCTTGTTAAATTTCATTATTAACCGACTTTATTATAAGGTTTATATTAAAAAAAAGTGAGGACTGATACTGTCACAACCTCAAATTTCTGATACTACATTAACTGATACATTCGTTCTATAATGTACAGTACCTAATTATTATGTATGACAGGGGAAAATGCAATGCACTTTGGCATTAATTCATGGACTTTATCTCTGTTCTTTATATTCTACAATGCTACTGAAGCATTTAGGATATAAGTTGGATTACACATAATACAATATTGTTTCGTTTAGAATTAAATATAGAAGTATTTGAAGATGGACAGCTTTCTACGACTACGAACATTTGAGACTTGAAAAATAAGCATTGGATATTTTTATCTTATAATTATAATTATGCAATATTATTTATTATCATAATCTAAGCGTAAAACGAGAAATATAATAATATAGCCTACAATATGATTTAAGAAAACTTTAATATATTATAAATTAAAGATTGTTTACTAAATACTGTGTAACGAAGTAGATAGAAACAGTTCAATATACTATAATTAATTACATTAATGCAGTATATAAATATATAACTTTAAGCAAAAAATTATTTCTTTTTTTAAAAAAATAATTATAATTAGTAAATTTACGCCGTATGATTAGCAGCCTGAAAATACTGAGAGATATTCTGTAAACTAAACCCTGCGTTATTTTTTTAGTATTTTCAGGGACTTTGAGATAAAAACGGACGAATATGTATATTTATCTAATACCGTATACCATATTTATACAACACATGTAATGAAATTCAAGGGGTTTGATGATAAATTTATTGTTGTTATTATTATTGTGATCAAAAACATATGAACAGGAAAACATTGCTTTCGTCATAATATATCATCGCACGTTGTTAAATATAGATTTGAAACCAAATTTTACAATTCACGCAATTCATGCATTTTATAATACATATTCTGCATTGTTTGGAAAATTATCTTTGTAAGTCTTTGTGCATTTGTCGTAGATCATTTATCACGTGCGCACTAATCTTTGTCTTTTTTATACAATTCATTTTCTGAAAATGAAACAAGTTTATACTACTTTATTTAGTAATCTTCTGTTTAGAAAAAAGAAATATGATAAGCTTGGAACTGAAAAAATCCATATTTCGTTTGATGAGCTTAGAACAAGCAATTTTAGGTAATTAATTGAAAATTGTATAAAACCGACAAGATAACATCGAAAACCACTCTAACTCTTTTTTTCTTTTTTTTTTTTTTTTTTTTTTTTTTTTTTTTTTTTTTTTTTTTATTTTATTTTATTTTATTTTTTTTTTGGTACAAATTTTAAATATTTGATATATTTAATATATTTGCTTATATTTGATATATTTAATAACACTCAAAAAGATGGCCCTACTTTACGAAATTTTTAAGAAAAAGAGAGAGAGAAAAATATACGCTGCTACAAAGACGAATAAAAAATTCTCAAAAAAATATCAAAAAAAAAATAAGCGTACAAAATGTAAAATAAGTCAAATTAATAAGGATAAAAATAAGTCACAAAAACCATTGGCTGTGCCAAAAATATATTCAAAAGATGATCTAACAACAATCCCAATTCCTTCACAAAGAAACATTAAAGCAAGATCAAGATCACATTCAATATCTTATAACTTACGACCAACATCTAATTCGATTGTTACACCGGATGAAAAAACTTTTCGCAAGGTCAAAAATATCAATATTAAGGTTAATATCTTTTGGGGTGAAGAATATAAGAAACAACAGATTAATTTATCAATTCCACGAACTAGCTCTTATAATTTACTTAAAATGGACTTATCAGAAAAGTTAGGATATAAGATGCCACACGATTTTACTATATTATATCATACAAAAAAATATCATAAAAACAATACTATGAAAAGGGTTTTGCTTGATTACTGGATAATCAACAAAATGTTATGGTGTATAGATAATGATTTTATGTTTAGAAAACATATGTTGTTATGGAGGGATAATATCGAGATAACTGTTACAAAAAAATCTCTTATAGTTAATGAATTTAATAAAAATTAGTAAAAAGTAATTTTGTAAATTGTGAGCGATATTTCGTGTGAAATGGTCAGCAGTGATGGATGACAATTGTTCAAGTTAATGTTGTTTCTTCATTTATTACTTTTCAAATGACTTTATAAACATTTGCGCTTTAAAAATTTATAATAAAATTGGTCATTTTGACGTTCCATTTCCCAATATTGAATTTGTGCATTTTTTCGAATTCGCATAAATTTTAAATTTTTCGCTATGAAGACATGTATATGTATGTTGTATCGTAACGTTATTACTAAAATATGAAATATGGAGATTATTTATACATTTTCACATATCAAAACTTTATTGTTTTTTAGAAAAAGAAATCATATATCTTTATTAATTAATTGTTTTTTTAGATGTATCGTTTCCCTATTGAAGAAAAGAAGAAAATTTCCGGAATTTCTCATTTCTATCATAGAGTTTCGAGCGTAAAATTTGGAAATTATATTATTACTATCTTAGGGAGAAAAATTATTGAAAATTATTGTAAGAACTAGCATAAATTATATATAAATTATATAAATCTACTTATTAATTACTTATTTATATAAATGTATTATTTTACAATTATATAATCTCTGATTATACTACATAAATTAAATATCATCTTATAATATTTTATTTATTTTGAATTAATTCCAAGAAAAATAATATAAGATATGATGACAGAAATTAACAAAGCATTTAATGTACATAATCTTGCCCAAAATTTCACATCTTTTTTATTACTAAAAAGATAAAAAATTCCAATATACCATAAAGGAAAAAAACAAAAACCAAATACATAAAACTTTTTCATAGAAAGCCAAGGTATTTGTGGATGACCACTTTCAATATCATTGATAGAAATTTCTGGAAGTAAAGTACGACTTTGATTTTCGGGAGGATTTGAAGTTGAAAGTGGTAATTCGTAAGGATTTGATAATGATGAATTATAATTTGGTGGCGGGGATAATGAAGAATTTTGATTGTTTTCTGATTTTACATTTGAAGAATCCGAATAATTTGACGACATTTTGTTTGATACAACATTAGAAATTTCAACCTTTACATTTGATAAATTAGTTGTTTCAGACATATTTTTTGATAATTCAAAGTAAAAAAAGGAGAGATTTATTTAATAATTCACTTTAAGTTGAAAGTAAATTAGGGAAATAAAATGATCTATATTGAATTAATTCTATTAATTTCAATTCTACTTTCTATAAATAAGTAATTTTAAACGGAAATTTCTTTTCCTTTTATAATAAATCATTTTTAATTTTTATTTTTAAATTTACATTTTTGGATTGGATAAACCGTATTTTCCTTATAAGAAAACAATTCGGTTAGACTCGAATGCACTAACAAAGAAATCCAAAAATAATAACAAAGAATTGTGTCACATGATTTACATTATTTGTTTTTTTGTTCAGGGAAAAAAAATTGAATTTTCATATGGAAAATCGTTTATGCAAATTGATTTTCTGCATTTAATTACATTTATTTGATTATTTTTATCAAGAAATACAAATAAGAGAGATCAAACAAAAAAAAAAAAAAAAAAATTTCTTATAAAGAACAAAGAAATCTATCTGCATTTTATACATATATACTTTCGAATTAAACTTTTATCCTTTACTAAATTTAATCCTTTCTTAAAATCTTTTCCTTTTTCTTTATTCATTCTTAATTACTTGTGTTCTTTAAATGTACTTTTTCATTAATAAGTTTCTTCACGAGAGAAAATTAAATTTTCAATGTGATAATGGACTTTCCAAATTTGTCTTCAATGATTAATTTTATTAATTAAAAATGTCCAATTAAATTATTTTATTCTAATTTTGGTATTTTATGATAAAATCGTGCAATTTGTTTGCAAATTGACTAATTTCAAGAAAAGTGTTTCAGGACGAAAATTCGAATTTAACGAAAAAAAAAGCAGGCATGGTCACTTGACTTTATTTGATATTCATTGTTTGTGTAACATTTGTCTACAAATTTTAAAATTTCTCAAAAAATCACGTTTTTTTTAAAAGAATAAACATTTTATTTTTATTAATTAGAATATAATTTCAAAACAATATTTCATGGTATTTATCTACCAAACTTTTTTTTTTGTTTTTTTAATAATACATTAAATCTTTTTCATTTTCTAATTTAATATTGTTCTTATTAATATTGTTCTTATAATATTATGAATCAAAGATTTCTTATGGCATTCTTCTTAATATAATAGCTGATTATACTTTATTTCGTATTCTTGATACTCCTTACTTTCATATTCACACAAATATTTACCCCAAGTTTACAAGAACTATAATTTAATCCATTTTAAAAAGACGATTCCTATTTGTACAGTATCTTTTAATGACCGGTAATCTTCAACATGTACGTGAAGTGACATAAATAAAGCAAGTAATATCATAATTGCTTTTGTTACTCGTTAAACAATTAATTTCTTCTAACTTCTCTTTACGAAATACATTAATATTACAGAATTTTTCTTTAATAAAAAAGTGAAAAAAGAATATCTTAATCTCGTTTCCGTTTAATAACTATCATATGACTTTTAAAAAATTCTCACGTCTAAGAGAACAATAATTGGTACAATTGAAATGTAGTGATCGCAGCTGCATTTACATGCAGCGTTGGATATCACGAGCCTGCATGAAAAGAAAGTGACATCATATAATTGACTAATAAGACATGTAGATCAAATATTCACAGCGACGGACATTGATAAGATGTAAACGTCAACTAAATTTGGCGAAAGATGAAAGAAAACGCAAATTAGATTCTATTTGGAAAGATTTGTCGTGTTACTTACTAAATACACTTGATTGTGGATCGATATGTAATAATCATTAAAATGCGCATTTGTCACAAAAAAAAAAAAAAAAATTTAAAAATGTGCACATAAGTTGCGGTTATAAATTTTATGTCTTTCACTTAATCAATTTTTTAGAGCTCAATTCGAACATTAATGTAACACAATTACCATATAATATCTTATTTATTTACGTGTTTCTTACATATTTCTTAATAATACATGAAAACCAAAAGACTAATGAATTAAGAACCTTAATCGTTTAATTTAATAAGTAATTGCTTAAATATTGAGTTAAGTGAAATTCAAGATTTTGCTTTTGTTCAATAATAAATGATAACTTTTCTTGATCCATATTCTGTTGAAGTTTAATCCCATAAATATTCTCATTCAAGTAATTGGTAATTGCAGTAGGAGAAACCAGTTCGCATATAACCTGATAAAATCGGTTATCATATTGTTGGTAATAAAAGAAAATATGCTCATTTTCGTGTGATTTAGTTACATGATCTCTATTATTTAAATTATTTAATGACTTGTTTAAAAAATACGGAATGTCTTTATATTTAATTTCTTTACAATTAACCTTGTAATGATAAAAATCGTTTTCTGGTTGATAGAAAAAGAATATTGGATGAATAGGTTGAGAATAATCAGTTGGGTTCATGATTTAGTCGATTTTCAACAATTATTTTTTTGGTGAATTTTTTTTCTTTTAAAAAAAGAGAGAAGCAAGACGCCTTGATTTTGTACTTTAAATGATAATTATTGTATTTATAGCCAAGTTGCTATGAAGTTTGAACTTTGAAAGAAGTCCCAAGGTTTATATATTTGATTATATAACACAAGATTTCAAGATGCATAAAATTTATCTTTATCTAAAATTCCTAAGATGGTAACATGGCTTGAAAAAAATATCTAAGCTAAATAAGAAATATCCTATGTAATATTACATTAATATTTGTTATTATATGAATAATGAATTACTTTTTGATTTTTTTTTAAAATACTTAAAATATTTGTAATTTAGTAATTAAAAATTGTTCTCAAAAACGATGAATAAAAAATGGTTTCACACAATTTTTAATTAAAAAAACTCGAAAAGTGACACATTAGATTGATTACTCTTAAAATGGAACTTATACAAGTTGTGCATGATTTTTGATGAATACTTACTTGTCAAAAAATGAAGACTCATATCTACAAATTAGCGACCGCTTACATATTGCATATTTTAATAATTAAATGTATCAAAATAATGAACATCTTTGATCTTTTGATTTTATTTTAGTATCTCTGTTATGATGTTATGATATATAAGTAACACTATTGCAAATCTCCCCCAATTTAGTTGATTTAGATCTAATCATAATGTTTAGTTATCAGTTCGTTATCATATCGGTTAAATATTTATATTTTCCGTATTTTATATATTTAATATATTTAATATATTTTATGTATTTGTATTTTTCTTTTAAATAATTCATCAAGATAGTTATCATTATGTAATGTAAATCTTGATCATTTATATTACATCATTATTTTATAATATTAAGTAATTATGTAATATATATTGAAATAATAAAGAAAAAATTTTGAAATTGTTTACTGTTTTATTGTTTTATTGCCTTAATTAAAGTGAGCTTATTTTGTATAATTATATATGAACCAAAAAATATATATATATATGTTACCTTTTTTTTCGAGTTTTTATATGAAACTTAACTAAATGTTCTAAATCCTTTCTAAATTACATAATAACACCCGATTCCAGCATTTACTTGATAATCACGAAATTTAAACTATCTATATTTCCCTTACTTCTTTTATCATGGTTGTCTCGCGTTTTATCATAGCTTCGGTAAAATATTAGAAAAAAAAAAAATAAAATCGAATACCGATTGTAACAAAAAAAAAATTTATTCATCTGCACCCCACAGCTGATAAAATATTTGTATTAAATCGATAAAAAAAAGTATAACAATAGACGAGAATAACAAATCAGCACCTGGCCGAGAGTATTAACCGATAAATAACAATAATTTTAACGAAATAAATGTAGTAATACGTGATATTTGCGACGATAACTTTATAAACTAAAAAAAAAACATTAAAATCATGATTTAAAAAACGCGACGTGTTAAATGTAATGAACTCATTTAATTTTGAACTGGCAATAATATATTAATTAGTTGATTGAATGGCGCTTGATTAACTAAAGAAAAAAATGAAAATTTTATGATTATTATGAGAAACAATTTTGATGCATTTAACAAGGAAAAAAAGAAAAAGAAAACCAAAATCGGGAAAGTACCTAATTATTTACAAAACTATTCTATCATTATGCGCGTTTTTAATTCACGTTCGCATGTTTTTTTTATAGAATTACTTTTGTACGTTTACAAAAGGATAGCCCCGATATCGACTATGAAGTTTGAACTTGGGAAGAAGTTCCAAGGTTTATATATTTGATTTTATAACACAAGATTTAAAAAAGTAAACAAGATGCGATAAAATTTATCTTTATCTAAAATTCCTAAAATGGTAACATGGCTTGAAATAAATATCTAAGCTAAATAAGGAATATTACTCTATGTAATATTACATTGATATTTATTATATCATTAATGAATTACTTTTTTGATTTTTTTTATAAAATACTTAAATATTTGTAATTAAATTACAAATTTATTCTCAAAAACAATGCATAGAAATTGGTTTTCTCACAATTTTTAATTAAAAAAATTTTGCGCGTAGTGTGTCGATTTATTCTTTATTTTGTTCTTTTCATATGCGCGATAACATAATCAGTAGCCTTCATATTGTAGTGCAAAGTTCTTATGTGGAATAGGAATTTTGGCTGATATTCAGAGTATTTCCGTAGTTTGCATCACAAATCACATGTTATTTTGTGTACAACTAAAATCATCTGACAAATATTTGTTTAATTGGCATATTTTTATATTCCGATCGTTTATTTGCAAACAATACAACAACAAGTACGGAGCCAACTCCGATTTATCAAAGTTTTTGCGAAATACTCAAAATTAATTCTTCCACCTTATCTTGTAAATACTTCTTATGACTTATATAATCGAAAAAAAAATCTATTTTGCTTCCAACTAAATTAAATAAAAACGATTGTGCTGATGAATTAACAATAGAAGATGATTATTTAAATTTGGTAATTTATCCTATTTAGAGGTTGAAAATATTTTTAATTAAATATAAAAATAATAAAAAAAAAAGAAAAGGTGCAAGGGCACCATAGTTGGTATATTGCTGCTGCAGTTCGAGCTTATACATAACTGATGATGCAATTGATTGTTTTAATAATACATGTTTTTACACAAAGAATGGGATTTATTTGGGTAAAAAAATTTTTTATTATATATAAACATATTTTCTCTTTTATTAGGAGTAGCATTTGATAAGTATTAAGTTTTCGATATTGATCAATATGGAGGTACAGACTACCAAATTTAATTTATTATTTTATAAATCATAAAATTTTCAATTTATTATTTATTTTGTTTATAGAGAATATCACAAGATGCGGAAGATAAAATAGATGAAATGGATGGTCTAAATTATCTGAAATATACTAATAAATATTATTAGCATTATAGCAATTGAATATCGTTCATTAACATTTTACCTTTAATTTATTAATTAATACATATAGTAAAACATTGATATAATTGAAATAAATTATTTTGGCAATTAAAAAAAAAAATTCACACGAAACAGGGACAAAAAATCAAATTACATCTGAATTACTGAACTGATAAAAGAATTTTATTTACACGAGAATTTTATTTACAATAAAATATACAATATAAAATAATAACTAATATACAACAGTTATCTCAATACAATCCTCCATAACAATAAGTGTTTACTAAGCATAAAATCATCATCTATTAACCACAAGATTTTGTTCTTTATCCAATAAAAATCCTTCTCATGATATTGTCTTTGTAATATTTTCTTCTTTAGGGATAATTTAGATGATTTTGTAGGTTTTTCTTTCTCGTTAGTTGAAGGCTTTTGTATACCTATTTTATTCTTGCAGATTTTATTAAAAAAAGCCATTTTAAAACAATAAAATTGTAAAGTAAAACGTAAAATTGATAAAATTATAAAATGATATAGTTGTAATCGAAAGAATTTAACAATTTGAGTCGGTTTTTATTTATCAACGCACTATCAACTCCGCGAACTCCTGGTTATTAATAATGAATCATTTTCTGGATAAATTTTAACCGGATAAAATTTAACCGATCGGTTAATCTCACTCCGATCTTATAAGAAATTTTCTTACATTATTCTAGTTTATTTAAAAAAAAAAGCAGCACTATTTTAACACCTAGATAGGGTTGTTTGACATTACATTACCCCTACATCCTAAATCATGAAATTTTATAATCCTGAAAACAAAAAATCCGAATTTTATAATAATTTCACGATCCCGGCCAATTTCAATAAATCCTGAATTTATTGATTTAAATATTTTTATTGCAAACCCTAAAGGCATATTTTCAATACTCCAGAAGCATGTTAACTTATCATGTAGTATGTTCTTTCGGGACTATACCATTTCGGAATTACGTTAAACGAGTCCTAAAATTTATAACAGAAATCTACAAGCTAATTTTAATATAATTGTCTATTTTCTCCAATAGATTAAAATTTACATATTTTTTTGCTTAAAACAATTACTTATACTAGCACATGTTGAATACAAATGCAATAAAGATTGCTTGAATGGGCATTATTATTTATTATGATAAAAAACGGTTATATTATAATCTTTATATTACGTCAAAAACTATACTTGTTTTGAGCCAAAATTCAAAATAACAGACAACAAGTTATTCTTGTTATAAAATAACATTTTATTTTATTAACATGATATTCAATTAATTTTCATCGGTGACCTTTCTATTTTGTAAGTTATCCTTCATATTTAGACTGTTAATAACGATCTATTTGCTTACAAGTAGGTATTATGTTAATTGTGCCAATAATCTTCAAGAATTTCCATAATCCACTACGAATTCAAAACAGTCGGATCATTTTCGAAGTTATTTTAAATGGAAACCTGGAACCTAAAAAAATAAATGTTAGTATAACATTTGTTAAAAAGTAAAAAAAAAAAGAACCTCCAAATGACATCTGGATATATTAAAAAAAGAAAAATAAACATTAGTCAATTTTTGTTAAATAAAAACGAACTGATATTAAATATAAGCAATTTAGAGATCGTTTACTGTTACTGATGAGTCGTGTACACGTAATATGATCTTGAGTAAAAACATATATACAGTATATTAGAATCCATAATATACAATTGATGATATAATTGGCTGTCATCTCTACAAGATTCATTTGGGTAAAAAAGAATAATAATTTTTTTTTAAAAAAAATATATTAACCGGTATATTTTTTTAGTGAATTTTGTTTTCGATATTAATCAATATGCAAAGGACCAAAGGTGCAGCGAGACAGTTATTTTAAATAGCATTAATACAAGAAGTAAATATATCATTTTAAAAGAGTTTTGTTATTGATAATTGACGCAAAGTAGATAAATAAATTATTTGGCAATTAAAATCAGTTTACAATACGAGAATTTGTGACTAAATATGATGGATTTTTTCACAAAGTCAAACTTTCCATAACAATTATTTACTAAACATAAATCATTAACCACATCTTGTTCTAATAAAATAATCAAGTAAAACCCTTCTTATGATATTTTTAATATTTTATCGCGTGATAAAGTATTAAAATCACATCCGTTCTGACTTCTGATATAACTTTTCAAAATGAACTATAAGAACTAGTTCATGGGATTGATAAATTAATTTGTTCATTTTATATTTTTTCTCCAAAATAAATTAGTTTTATTAGTTTTTGATGATAATATTTTTACTGGGCGCAAACTCGCAAAGTCCTTTGGTGTAACAGTTGAATCAAATGATAAATCGTCAGAACAGAAATTGGATGTGATCGAAATCGTGCTCGCAGTAATCAGACTTCTTTCATATGATTTTGCATTGTGATGGACTTTTTTTACCTATTACGAAAATATACATATAGATAGAATGTTATATAAATGAACTTACCTGAAGTTGGCTATTATAATTGTTGATGATTTCGTTTTTCTAATATTTAACGAATTGTTCAATAATTTCATAATTAATTTTTTTACATTATCTTTAAAATGATAAATTTGGAGGCGACTTATTTAAGTCGAAGATGCTGGTTAGTCGAATTCATAATAGATAATAACCCATCCAAGACTGATACTGTAATTATTCTATTATTATATTATAGTTGAAGCTTTCTTTTTTGTTTTCTTAATTTTCTTGCTTTTTTTTAACAGTTTTTTTTTAAAAACAAGAATGAATGAAATGCACATATTACGCGTTCTTTTGACAAAGGATTTTTTCTTTTTTTTAAAAAAAAGACACTCGAACCTTTAAAAAACTGCGGTTTTAAATACATAAAAGATGGTTCATACGTTGATTTTGATCACGTATATATTATTTTGTTCACTAGATAATTAATTGAATGAAAGCAATTTTCAGTATTCTTATGACTAATTAATCTTGTTCTATCCTAGTGTTGAAAGGTACGGAGAAAGTTCCCGCACCCTCCTTCAACTTCGTCAATTGGAACAACCTTATTAATTTACTTCTAATTATATTGCGTAACAAAATATTTAAGAATTTTCGTGACTGAACAAAAATTATATACAAAATACTGATCAATATTTATATATTTTCTGCTTAAAAACCATTACTTATACTAGCAGAAGTTGAATACAAATGCAATTTCATATGTAATTACAATTCATAGTACATAATGTATTGTAATATAATTTAAGTTCGCAATTGAACTTCACTATACGCTGCAATGATTACAAATATCAATTGAGTAGTGATGCCGAATTAACTGAAACCATATGTTAGAATTGTTTTAATATTTTAGATTTTAGTTTTAGCTAATTGTTATGTTTAAAGTTAAAATTAACTTACGCTTTCGATAACAATAACATTCCAAATTGTTTTCAATATAAATAATAACAAAATGCAGAAATTTTTAAATGAAAAGATGAAAAGTCTCAATTTATTAGTGATTTAACAAGTTAAAATTATTTTAACAATGTTAGTTTTTGCTTTAATTATAGTTCTGTTAAAGCCCATCACAGTTAAGTCGGCATCACTACTTTTGAGCAGCGAAAAATGAAGTGCATCTAATAATGATGCATTGTTTTTACGGAATGCCTTTCATTTGAGTGAAAGATTGTATGAAAAGGCATTGTTATTTACTATTAATATACTATAATATGTAAGCCTATAATTTTTTTCGTAGATAAAACATAGAATGTTTTGAGCCAAAAAATAACATACTAACATTTTCAACTAATTCCTTTAAATTTTTAATGACCTTTGTAAGATGTTCTTCATATTTAGGTTTGTTAATTTAGTAAAAAAAAAAAGAATTTCTATTTATAAAACTAACATGTGATAAGGTAGAAATGATACTAATTATGCTCATGATCTTTATTCAAGAATTTCCACAACCCACTATGAATTCAAAACAGTCAGATCATTGCAATTAAATCAGATAGTTGTTATTAAATTTATTTTACCTTATGGTTTTCTTCATGACCGTCAGCGTGACAAGTGACTTCTTGATATCCATTATTCAGTATGAAATCGTGGCTCATGAGTGATTTTTTCGCATGTGCATGATCGTGTCGCAGACTAATCGTGTCACCAACTGCCCAATATCCCGAATTGTCATAAATGGAGGTTTTACTATAACGTTGTAGTATCCAGTTGTCCTCCTCATTTGGGGGACCATCATGACCATTCCATTCTAATGCTCCTCCGTAGCAGGTAACTATAATATTAATTTATCGTTATTCCTCATCATTATTTGATCAATCACAAAAATCTAAATTTTTCATTGGTTATTTACCTTCTTGTTGTCTAGTTTTCGGTGACTCTTGTCCACCATGAGAATGCAGATTTCTACCGGTCTGTTGATGCTTTAATCCGATAATAGAATTAAACGGTACCAGGCTACCTGACTGACGGTATTGTTTATTAGGTGGAATTACGATCCAAAAATCGTATTGTTTATCTGGTTGCCAACCACTGCAAAATACCTGGATTAAATACAATATTAAAAAGGAATTACCGGTAATGAATTCAATATAGCATAAACAAAATGTTCCATTGTGTACTAACCATTTGCTGCTTTGACCCAGTTTCATAATTGATACCTTTACTGGACAAAAAACGTCCAGTAACGACATGTTTGAGTGCAATTTTGGAGCCGAAGCGAATCAGGCGCTTATGTTCAAGTATCACGTCTTTGAAAGTATCGATCACCTCACCAAATGAGTTCAAGTTTTCAATTCTACTCCCAAGTACATTCCGAACAATATCATCTGGCATATTTCGAAGTAAGTAATCCTTTTTCTCTCTGAGATCAGTAATGTCGGCGCTATTACAAAGGGAAATAAATTTCGCGATAAATTCGGACATGACTCTATTACGCTCATATTTCAAATTTTTAAGTTTTTCAAGAGAATCTGCGCGGAATACAGAATGAGTGGCATGGTCTTTGAGAACATTAATAAGTGAATTAAATGAGGTTATATCGATATCGTTTGGGATTGGGATAATTGGATCTACTCTTAGAATGGCAATATTCAGAACAGTAGCTTGATCGTGGATACCCCGAAGAGCACAAAAGAATCGCAAGTCTTGGACCCATACTTCTGGCTGAAGAGTACCATCATATCGAGGAGGTAAGTCGCCCATTATAAAGTGTAGTTTTTGATATTCCTTGTGTGCATGTCTAACTGTCTAACGCCCTAACATGTGATAATGCAGTGCTGTCACGCAAATAAGAAATGATCGACTCTAAATTTTGTTTCTTATTTTTTTATTCCAGTTCACATTTTGCAAATTAATAAAGTTTTATTATTATACAATTATAATTAGACAAAAAGTACCTTTATTTTTAATCCTTTTGATTAGAAATGTAAAGTATTTTTTAAATCAAGCAATATTCAAGATAAATGAGTAAATAACATTAGGTACAATTATTTCTATATAAATATAACTTTATATATATAAATACTACTTCAGTAGTTCAGCTTTCTCTTTAATTTATACTAAAGATATTAAGTTAGTCTTAGAACCTAAAGTCTTTAACTCTTTGTAGTTCTATATGTGACTTGGATTTTTGTAAAATACAAAATTTTTTTTTTTGAAATTTGTATAACCTATACATGCTGCCCAAATTATTTTGGGATGCTATAATTATAATTTGGGATGCCATAATTCATTCGGTTTATATATAATTTACTATGTAAAGTGCCAAAATAATTTGGGATGCTATAATTGAATTTGGGATTTTACTTATAATTATGGCAGTCCAAAATAATTTGGGTGGCATGTATAGTATAACCTTTTAAAATACAAAAAATAAAAAATAAAAAATAAAATTTGAGCATAAATCATCCAAAAAGGAAATTTTGCATAGAATTTCCTTTTTAAACAATATCCATCTAAAATTAAAAAATAGATTTACCTTATTCTTTTCTATTATTACTTTTACTGGAAATATTCCAGGTAAATATATATCTAAATATTAAATTTGTTTATAATATTAAGAAGATTTTTAATCCAGTATTTATCATACTTTTATTTGTTAAATTAAAAGTTAGTCCTAAAGATTAATAAAATAAAATTAGATAAACTAAGTACATTTACTTAATGTTTTAATTTATACAGATTATCTTTAATTATTTTTCCTAATAAACTATTTTATATAAATTATTGTTTATTAACTCAATTTTCTTTCTATTTAATTTACTAAGTATATTTGCTAGTTAAATAAAATAATTTTATGGAAAAGTTTTATATATTATATGAAATATATTTTATTAATAAAATTACTATTTTTAATAAAAGTAAATTTTTAAAAAACAATTTTATATTTAATCTAATTAAAAAATAACTAACAATTTTATTCTGTTTTATATAATTTAATTTTAATAGAATTCTAATTTATATATAAGTCATATTTAATTGCCAATCTACATGTGATCAATAGAATTTATATAATAAAATGTAACGTAATATTTATATATAAGCCATGTTGATCATGTTTTTATATCAAATAAAATGCTACCATATTGTTATACAATTGTGTAATTTAACACCTGCAATGTATATTTAAAATCTTAAAAAAAAAAAAATTTTTTAATAAAAAGTTTTTTTTCTTTGCAATTTATAAAGTTTTATATGTAGGAAACAGAGATTTCATAATATTTTACTACTATTTTACTTCTATGGTATAAACAATTTCTAGCTCTTTAACTTTTCTTTGACGTTTATAAAACTTTTTTTAATTATTATTTCTGTCAACTATCACATTTTTAATAATACTATGCACTTTTATATCTCTTTTTCTTTTATAATATGTCCGATTTGTAAAAAATATGAATATAATAAAATATATGACTTAATTGCTGATCCACGAATGAATCAGACCTAGTGATCGGCAAAATCAAATCTCTACTTCCAAAAAAGTAAAGTCAGTCAATTTTTAGCCAAACCAATTAAATTTTTTTTTTAAAAAAAACTTAGAGATTAAATCTATTTTGTAAAAATATAAATTTAAGTATTTCAAAACTCAAAATTTTGCAAATTGCTTTTAAATATCATCAATTAGCGAAATTTTAGTAAAAATTATTTATCATTTTTTTTCTAATAAAAGTACTAGCAAGAAGTCTCAAAATTCACACATATATAC